CCTTGCCCCATCTCGGCCCTTCTCTGCTTTTCGTGGAACTCACTGCTTCTATCTAACCCAGTTAATGCAACAATCTGGATGGACCTCTAGGGAATCCTGCTGAGGGACAAGAGCCAATCTCCAGAGGTCACATACCGTATGACTCCGCTTATATGACATCAGAAATCACAGAGGTGTACAGATGGAGAGCCAGTGCCTGGCAGCCAGGAGTGGAGGAGGGCTGGCTCCAATGGGGTAGCCCAAGGGGCTCCGTAGTGATGGCACAGCTGTGTACCTGATTGCAGTAGGGACAACACCAAGCTACAGACGTGATGAGACTGCACAGACCCCCACACATATACCTCACACTGATGAACTGGTGACGAACAGCAGTCGTCAGTACTGTCAGCTCCCTGCACTGAAAAGTCAGGGTGAAGGATATTGGAGACCTCTACCCCCAATACATGTCTTCCCAACTCTATGTGAATTCATAATTATTTCAAAAGCTTTATCAAAAACTGGATCTAAATAAAAGGACTCAAATGTTCTTTAGAGCCAATTAACACCAGAGAAACGGACCCCTCATGACCTCTCTCATGCTGAGAGCCCACGAGCAGAAGTCAGCAATCCCTGGACTGACATCAGTCAAAAAGGAGTTCAACCATTAGTGATGGGTTGCATGGGGCCACAAGCCGGAATGGCTGGAGAGTTGGACCACCTTATGCGAGTGCCCTGCCCACTGCGCTGCCACGCTCAGCAGAGAGCCTGAAAGGGGCAAATTCAGAACAACTTGGGGAAGGTGAAAGGGAGCTGCAATTTTATATGTGAAGCAGCTTTCCGGATGCTCCAGCTCTAACTCTGTCCCCTCATCTGTCAGTTGAGGAAAGTGAGGCTCAGTGGCTGTTGGCCATGGAGTTAGTGAGAGTAAGGGTCAAGTCCATGGACAGCAAGCTCACTGTCCTCCCCACAGAGTCTGGCTACTCCTCGCTCACCCTCATCATTGAAAGAGTGAGCACACAAAATCAGGGAGCAGTGACCCCTCCCTGCAGCAGAGATCCAGTTCACAGCAGCTCTGACTGCCTTGCTCTCTGGTCACCAGCCACCGCACATGTCTTGGCATTTACTCCCGCCATCTCTCTACCTGAAGTGCCCTTTAAACATCTCAAAAACTGAGCCCCCAAATCACCTCTGAGGGCAGTGTTCTCCAGCTCACTCACCTGTTCGTTCACTCAGAACACATCACGTGCCAGGTGCCACGTGAGGCATGGGAGACCGCCAGCCCTCACTGTGTTACAGTGTAGGGGGCACAGACACACACAACCTCACAGCCACTGTTATGGGGGGACAGTACAGCACCACACCATGGCTTAAGGAACTGTGAGGCTCAGCAGTGTTTCTGAGGCAGGGGCCAGGAAGGAGCAACTGCCCCTGTGGGGTCCTCTAGAGCAAACTAAATGCAACCCAAACCACTGCCACCGAGTCGATTCCGACTCAGCACGAACCTATATAGGGCTTCTGAGACTGTCGATCTTTCAAAGAGCAAACGAACTCATCCTTCTCCCACAGAGCAGCTGGTGGGTTTGAACCGCTGACCTTCTGGTAAAAGCCCAGCATCAAACCCTTAGCACTCTCAGGGCTTCTCCTTCCGGGTAGGGATCATCTTATTCATTGGTCTACACAGTGGTTCTCAATTGGGTCCTGCTGAAGTCTGGAGACATTTTTGGATGTCACATTGGAGTAGGAGATGCTACCATAATAACCTAGTGAGTAGAGGCCAGTATGCAGCAGAACATACTATAATACACAAACGGCCCCCACAACAAAGAGTGCCCCAAATGTCAACCATGCTGAGTCCACACTTTGCTGAGAGCATGAAGTCCACCTGGTCTACGCCACACTAAGCGTACAAGTTCTAACGCCTAGTCAACGGTCAGAACTGGCCTATACATAGTTGGTGACAGGCAATGCAATTCTCAAATATGGGAGGCGAAAGGCATGGCTACTAGAGAATCCCTGGGTAGTATAAACAGTGACCATGCTCACTGCTAACTGAAGGGTTAGAGGGAAAACATCTGGTCATGTACCTCCGAGAAATCATCCACTGAGAACCCTGTGGG